CTAATTCCTAGTTCTCTGTCCCAGTCAGATTACAGGGAGGAGGGAACCTAGCAGTGTTTATATATGGGCCCCCCCCAGCATGCAAACACACAATCTTCCTGGGAACAGCATTCCCAACCATCATAGGAAATAGGGGCGGTTAACCTGCCCTTTTCCCAAAAAGGAGAAAGCAGACTCTCCGAAGGTAAGGGACTGGGCTCTAGGTCACGTAGGAAGTACACAGCTCTGTGAGATTTGAAACCAGGACTGTGGGCAGGTCCCGAGGGTCTGAACGATACTCTCTATTACCTCACTGCCTCTTTGGCTAAGGTAGCCCTTCTGATTCTCTGTGTCCATTACAAGAAAATTCTTTAAAAGGATGTTGATTTATTAACTCAGTGCCTTTGTCTGAGGGGTCATTTTGCTGGCATTTGAATGGAGATTGATGAGGGCAGAGTATTTGCAGGGCTCTACAGTCTGAAGTGCAGGAGGGGTTTTCTTTGTCCCTGAGGAGGGACAGAGAATGTAAATTTAAGAGCCAGTAGATGGGTTGACAAAGCTTACCCAGAGAGGGTGTACCCTGGCTGTGTGTCACTTACCCAGATCATCTGGGCAGAATCTCCTTTGCTCACAGTCTTCCCCCACTTGCCACTGACACCCCTTAAAAGAAAAATCGGCAATTTGCACACAAAGAATACGTAGACCGCAATATTCATTTTGATCACTTAGGGGTCAAGAATTGTAACTAAACCCATCTGACACTTTCAAAAATATCCTCTGCCCATAGAGGGAATGAGCGTAAGAACTTCTCTTCTCTGTTCACGTCAGCTAGCATTACATCCGACAGGACAGAACATAATACATCGTTACCTGAGGGAGGCTGAGCATATGGTACTTCCATCCAAAAACTTGGGGGACCCTCGGAAATTCATTTCACCTTTCTGGACCTCTTCTCCCTCCTTGATAAAAATCAGTTGATTTCTGCTTCAGCCCATCATACTGGAAACCGTGTTTACAAAATAGGTTAAACCCTGGAACGGAGTAGCTTTTAAAAGCACAGACCTTGGAAGCAGGTTGAGTTGGTTTTAAACCCTAGCGGTGTTGTTGGTTTGACCTTGAGTGGTCACTCAGCTTCTTGCAACCTCAAATCTGCCACGTGGGAAACATGTTAATAATGCTTGCCCTCTTGCTTCTTCTGGGGCTGCATTAAAAACACTGTAAATAAAGTACTTTGCACGGTGCTTGACACATAATAAATGCTCGCTAAATGGTGGGCTGATTTCATTATTATGGTAATATTAGACACTATTATAATCATCTGGTCCCTAGTAAGTTTGCATTTATGAGCAATGTAAACACAGACACTTTATGGGAAGGAATCTCATAAAACTCATTCTAAAGAGCATTTTAGAGATATCGAAGAGGACACCTCCCATTAAAGCCCATGTTAATCCTCCAGTGAGGAAGACCCAAGAAAGAAATTGATTTCAGCCCTTGGCCAGCAAATAACTGTTTCCTCCTGAAAAGTAGCATTTGAACCTTGTAACTGATTGCATTCCCCTCTTTGTTTCCAATGCTAGGAAGCTCATATTCAAAGGAGGACAATAAATTAACACTTACGTAAATACCCTTTTATCCAAGGGCTCATTATACTGATGAGAACACTATGGCCCAAAATGATTTATTTTATGTGTTTGACACAATTGCTCCTTCCCTCCAACTTGAAAGGAACTCTTTTATTCCATGACAAGCTGCTTTTCTGAAAATTCTCTTCCTTTTTTTCTCTTCTGGCTTTTTGTATTCAGATGCCTCGACTAGTACACATGTTTAATGTGCTTTATCCGCATCGTATTTAATTCTCTCAGAAGTACCCTGAAACGTGCTATTACTTTGCCAAGATGGAAACTGAGGCTTATGTGATTTGCTTCTACCCAATATACTAGTCTGCCCCCCACATCCTTCAGGACATCTTTCCTCTGAGTGATGGGATCTTTGTGTGGCTTGAACAGTAGTCGTGCCCCACAGTACCAAATTTATGCCCCTATGGCTCTGAACTACCTCTTGAACACTAAAGTATTATTTCCAAATGACTACTAGGTAGCCCACAGACACTCTATAAATACACTATGTCAAGAACCAAATATGCATCCCTCAGCTGAAGACTGTTCCTTTTCCAGTAGACTCATTCTTGTGTAACATAATTAAATAATTAATAAAATAAAAATTGTGAGCTCCCACTATTTTCCTGGTACCACGTGCATTTTAAATGCATTACCTCACTTAAACCTTACAATAATTTCATAAGGTAAATTTCCCATTTTTTGCAGCTGGGAAGTATGTCATTTTCCCAAGGCTACTCATCAAGTACCCCCTGTAGCCGAACTGATTCTTTAGAAAAGATATTGAAACAATAACCTTTCCCCCAAGTCATGTGGGCTGGAAGATCTTATCTTCCCCAGTCTCCCTTCTTCCTTCCTGGTGACATCCAGTGAGTCATCCAGACCTAGAATTCATAAGCCAATGGTTCTCAAACTTGGCTACATAACGGAATCATCTGGCTACAACTAGTTACAAACTATTTACACCCTGCCCCAACCCCAGAAATTCTGACTCAGTTGGTGTGGGCTACAGAGTAGCACAATTCTAAGGAACAGAATTGTTTAAACCTCCCTAGGTGAGTTCAAGGTCAGCCTCCTAAGAGCAACTGACTGTCACCCTTTAAGTATGTGAACCTACATCATGACCCATCACCCCCACTTCGCCGGCCACCACACTGACCACATCATCTCTTCTTGGACATTGCAAGGCCCCCTATCTCAGCATCCTGTCGCCCTTTTTTTTTTTTTTTTTAAATCCCTTGCCATCCATGCTCCATAATAAGAGTCAGAGCCATCTCAGCAAAGCACAGATCTGACCAGGCCACTTCACGGGTTAAATCTGGCCATGGCTTCCTACTGCCTTTAGGGCAAAGTCCCAGATCTATCTTTCTTTCCTCTGTTAAACTCTTCCCTCTGAGTAGGTCCACATGGGGGGCCATGGCTCCATGCTTTGCTCCTACTACAGTTGTGGCTGGAACTTCCCCAACCTGTAGGGTCAAGTTTAGATGTCATCTCTCTGAGCCCTTACCTGTCTGATTTCATCCTGAAGAAATCAATTGCTCTCTTCTCTGTGCTCCTAAAGCACAAAGCTTTTAAGATGCTTATAATTTCGTATCAATGTCAGCTTTGCTAGATTGTGGGCTCATTGAGGGCAAGGAATGTGCCATTCATTTTTCTGCCCTATGGATACAGCCCATACTATCATAGAATTGTTATGAGAGTTAAATCATAATAGTTCCTGAAAAAATAAACAAATGTGTGAATGAACACTTAGTTCTTTTTTAAATGTGATTTCCTTTGATTTCTTTCTTTAATGCAAGCAGGTGAGTTCCATTCCTATGGAGATTTCTAAAACTGTATCCCATGGTTGGTGACCAGAGAGAAAAAGAGCTGCCTCATGGGTTTCTCCTACAAAGCGTTCCAGTGATCTTGAGAAGACTTGAATTAGCCTTTGACACTATAGTTTTCTAATCAGGACAATAGAAATAACAATAATATCTACTTCAGAGGGTTATCAGGAGGATTTAATGAGATAATGGATATAATATGTTTAACTTAGTGCCTGTCTGGCACACGGTAAGTACTCAACAAAATTTCTCTCTCCTCCTCCATGAAGCCTTCCTTGCCTATACTAAACCTGAGTGATACCTCCCTTCCCTTTATGTGTATATTTACTTAACAAATAGTAACTGAAGCTCCAATACACAAACACACGTCTCTAATATGTAGCAATGGGAAAACTAGAACAAAGCCTTACCCTTCAGGAACTTAATTTCTAGTTTGTGAGGAGAGAGAGAGAAAGAATAAACCAATGAAACATACAGAATATATGATGGTGGCAAGTAGTAAGGAGAAGAACGAAATAAGGGAGGCAGAAAGAAAATGCTGGGGTAGGGATGTAATTTTATGTAGACAGCTAGTTCCTCCCTGAGAAAGTCACATTCAGATGAAGAGCTGGAGGTATTGGGGAAACCAGCTGTGTAGATGCTATGGGGCAGAATCCCAGGCAGGGAGAAAGGCAAAAAGGCTCATGGGGCTGGAACAGAGTGTAAAGGGAGTGGGTGGGATGGATAGGTGAAGGGTTCAGAAAAGGAACGTGAGGCCAGAGAGAATCAGACCCTGTCAGTTATTTTAAAAATATTGGCTTTTCCCCCAAGTGAGACAAAAAGCCTTTGGGGAGAACTGAGAGGTTCACCAGGACCACACCGGCCACTGAGTTGAGACCAAGCTTATAGCACAAACACAAAGGAAGGAAAACCACCAGTTATATGAGTGTGAGAAGGTGGAGGCTTGTACAGGCTGGTAACCATAGGCATGGCAAACACTAGCTGGCCCTAGGATGTATTTGGAAGGCAACACAAACCATACATCTTGTCCAGCTTGGTATGGAGTATGAGAGAAGGAGAAGATTTTATTTGTTGTCATTGTTCTGAGCAACGGGAAAGATGGAGCTGCCAGGGACAGAGACTGGGGAGTCTGCCACAGGAGTGGGTTTCATGGGAAGAGATGAAGGTTGATTTTACAAATGATAAGTTTGAGACTTCCAAGGAGAGGAGTCAAGCACCCCATGGTATAGACCAATCCGAAGTTCAGAGAAGTGGTCCACTGTGGAGGGCACAAGGAGCCATTGCTGTGCCAATCATATCTGAAGCAGTGACAGGGAATGGCATCACCCAGGGGATAAATGTCAACAGAGAAAACAAATGGCCCAAGGACGGAGTTCTGACATAGTTCAATATCAAGACATCAGGTTGAGTTCCGGAGGACGGGAATGAAGATGGCGGCCTCCCAGTCTCCGGCCCGAGGAGCCGAGAGCCCGGGGCCCCACTCCTCGGTGCGCCCTCAGAGAACAGCGCCCAATTGCTCCCGTCACCCTGGCCTCCAGCCGCGCTCCGAGCTGACCGAGCCTGCGACCGGTTCAAGACAGCTAAGGATTATAACTGGTGAATGGTTTTTTGAAGAAAAGGCAAAGCAGTTCAAGCAAGTCAACGTTCTGGGCACTGATATAGTCCGACAGTCCATCTTAAGAAGAAGTCCAGGAACTGAAGAAACACAAAGTCAAGAGCAATCCCGCCAGGACCCAGAAAAGACAGATACTTCGCCTTCTTCCGGGCAAAAGGCCAGTCGTGATGGACCCAGGAAAAAAGGATTTCTTCTGAGCAAGTTCAGATCAGCAACCAGGGGAGAGATCATGACTCCAAAAACGGAAAGTGGGCGGAGCTACAGCTTGGACCTAGACAGCCAGAACTTTCGGAGTTTAAAGTCAGTCCCTGGTTCAGACAGGGGAAGCACGGGTTCATCCGATCTTAATGACCAGGAAGCTGGCCCCTCAACCCCGAAAAGCAGCCGGAGCAGTGGTGTGACCTCCATCACTCAGAGGTCACCAGCCCCAAGCACACACAATGTGGCCTCAGTCAGCATTAGAAAGCGGCATGGTTTTGAAAGTTCCATGGATTTGGCTGCCATCGAAAGCACGTATGAGGACCTCACAAAGAGTCATCGCAGAAATGTTTCTGGTACACCTTCCATAGCGGTGTCTGAGATCTCCCTTTCCTCAGACTGGAGTCGATCTGAGTTAGATCTGAGTGGGTCATTTCCAGAAGACTTAGAGAATACTGTAAACATAAGAAGCAAGTCCGTCCCTGGGGCTTTAGACAAAGACTTGGACTCCTTGGAAGAGACTGAGCAAGGTGTTCATGGCTTAGTGTCCTCCCGGTTTTCTGCCAACACCCACAGCCTAGCAAGTGGCCTGTCAACCACCAGCCTTAACAGCATGATGAGTGTTTACAGTGAAACAGGAGACTATGGCAACGTGAAGGTCAGTGGTGAAATCCTTCTCCACATCAGCTACTGCTACAAAACTGGCGGGCTCTGCATTTTTGTCAAGAATTGCAGAAATCTGGCCATAGGAGATGAAAAGAAACAGAGAACAGATGCTTATTTCAAGTCATACCTTCTTCCTGACAAATCCAGAAACAATAAGTGCAAGACCAAGATCAGAACAGGCACCAATCCAGAATTCAATGAGACACTAAAGTACACCATCAGCCACACCCAGCTGGAGACGAGAACTCTGCAGCTCTCGGTCTGGCATCATGATCGATTTGGACATAACAGCTTCCTCGGGGAGGTGGAGATTCCTTTTGACTCATGGAACTTTGAAAATCCAAGTGATGAATGGTTTGTGCTTCAGCCCAAGGTGGAATTCGCTGCAGACATAGGCCTTCACTATAAAGGAGAGCTAACAGTTGTTTTACATTACATCCCCCCAGAGGAGAACCTGATGATTCCTCTAGAACAAGTTCAAGGAAAGAAGACCTTCAAAAGGGGAAAGAAGAAGGAGTCACCGTAATCTTTGGAGGAATACTGGAAGTGTTCATCAAAGAGGCAAAGAATTTGACAGCGGTGAAGTCAGGAGGCACTTCTGATAGCTTTGTGAAGGGCTACCTGCTCCCAGATGACAGCAAAGCTACCAAGCACAAAACTCTGGTGGTAAAGAAGAGTGTTAACCCTCAGTGGAATCATACTTTCATGTTCAGTGGCCTGAACCCCCAGGATATAAAGAATGTTTGCCTAGAACTTACTGTCTGGGACAAGGAGGCCTTTTCCAGCAACATCTTTCTGGGAGGAGTTCATTTGAATTCTGGAACCGGTGTGAGCCATGGGAAGAGTGTGGATTGGATGGACTCTCAAGGGGAAGAGCAATGCCTGTGGCAGAAGATGGCGGACAATCCTGGGACTCCCGTCAAGGGTGTGCTCATGCTCCGGTCCAGCATGGGGAAGTGTAGGCTCTGAAGATTTTACTTATTTAGAAATGAAATCTTGCCATTTGCGACAACGTGGATGGAACTAGAGGGTATCATGCTTAGCGAAGTAAGTCAATCGGAGAAAGACAACTGTCATATGATCTCCCTAATATGAGGAAGAGGAGATGCAACATGGGGGGTTAAGGGGTTAGGAGAAGAGTAAATGAAGCAAGATGGGATTGGGAGGGAGACAAACCATAAGTGACTCTTAATCTCACAAAACAAACTGAGGGTTGATGGGGGGAGGGGGGTTGGGAGAGGGGGGGTGTGATTATGGACATTGGGGAGGGTATGTGCTATGGTGAGTGCTGTGAAATGTATAAACCTGGCGATTCACAGACCTGTACCCCTGGGGAAAAAAAAATACATGTTTATAAAAAATAAAATTAAAAAAAATATATATATGTTTAAAAAATAAATAAATAAAATAAAATAAAATTTATTAAATTAAAAAAAAAAAAGACATCAGGTTGAGGAGCAAAAGCTGGCTAAGAACTTGAGAAAGAAGACCGGGCAGTGAGGACCCAGCAAAACCAGGAGTACGTATGAAGTCTCGGAAGCCAAGTGAAGGAAGTGTTTCATGAGGAGGTGGTGAGGAAGTGAATTGTATGTTGCTCACAGGTCAGCCAAAATGAGGACTGAGAATTGACTCTCAGGTTTAATCATGTGGCTGTCAGTGATGACCTGGCTGAGAACACTTTTTGGTGGAGGAGGAGGCAGAAGCTTAACAGAGATGATGGAGGGAAAATGGGTAGACAGCCTTTCACCAGCTGTGAGACATCATTCAAGTTACAGACCCTCAAATCCCACATCCCTCCCTCTGTTCTTCCTTCTGTCCTTCCCAGATCTATAAAGTGGGATAGGAATGTCAATTTCATAACAATTTTATGAAGTCATGTGTGCTGAGGTTGGTGAGGGTGGCATGTGCTCAGTAAAATGTAGTCCCTTCCTGCCCTTTCAGGATCCTAGGTTTGGGGCCTGAGAAGGGGGCACCCATTAAGCATCCACCGATGGGGGTAAATCAGGTCTCCAGTTCTCCTTCTGGCCCAGATAGGTATCTCATTATTTGTTTGGATCAAAGAGAAAAACATCCTTGTCTAAGGTGAGGAGGGAAAGCTGGAGGCCACCACAGGCTTTTCAGGAAAGAAGCCTGTTGGCTTAGAACTCCACAGAGCGTCTGACTGTAAATAAAAATTGCAATGGCTTCTGCTTGGAAGGAGGGATAGGAGGTCTGAGGATAAGTGCATTCTGTCCAGGGCAGCCTCCTGCAGAAATGATTTCCGGAGCACAGCGCCAAAGTGCTTTCGTAAATGACTCTGGCTCACCCCTTTCCCTATCTCCTGCCTTGTATATGCAACATTTATAAAAATAAACATTTGCAGGAGACATTTGGGAGGAGGTCAAGGTGGAGCACCCGGCAAAGCAAACAGGAACACCAGAGAGCTTAGAACTCCCAAGAAGAATGTTCATTTTCAGAGAAGGGGACAGAGGATCAGTGGGTGTTAGGGACGACAGTGGGAGGAGAGTAATGAATGTGTGAGTTCCAGAACTTCAGCACTGTCTTCTGTCAGCCTCCCCTCTCATTTATGTCTTGTACCTCATCCTTGTCCCCGCTAGAATGCGTGACCCTTGCGGCAAGGACCACTTTCTACTCATTTTTGGACTGGGGTTATTTATCCAGAATGACACATTTATCAAGCATCTACTTCATGCCAAGAACTCTGCTCCTCCAATCCCACCTATCAGGCCTTAATGTTCCATAGTTAAATGAGGATTCTTTCATCCTTAGGAGTTGGTACTGTTTCACTCCACTCAGACTGGCAAAAAAATGTCACCTTCGGAGAGGCGCCCTCTCTGAACTCCCATCCCAAGCAGAATGCGGCGTTTCCTCCCACATGCTTCCGACCTCCCCAGATTCCACCGACTCACAGCTCTGTAACAGAAGCTTCCTGCGGACAGGGCTTCATTTTGCTCACCTGTATGTCCTACTGCCTGGAACAGTGTGTGGAATATAGAAGGTATTCAATTAACATGAACACATGATTAGCACCCACTTCATGGTCATTTCAGTCAATTACTTGATGTCCATCTCTATTGCTAGTCTGATTTCTCTGATGAAAGAGACGGTGTCATTTGCTTCTTAATTTCTCCCTTTTTCCATCACATAGAAAGTGCTCAGTAAATGTAAGTGGGATAAACATATAATCAAACCTCTCTGGTTCTTTATGAGTCTCTGTTAAATTATTCTCTACTTTATTAGCTAATTAATAACCAAGTACTTTTATTAAATAAATACAGATTACATAAAATACAGAATAAGACAAAAATAGTTAAAAAGAGACTGGTATAAAATAGGGGAGATACAATCATCAGGCTCATCATTATCAGCAATAAACGCTTGCTGCTATGTTCACCAAAAGTATTTTTGAGCACCTACTATGTGCTGATGACATGCAAAGCACTATAGAAAGAACAGAGGTCAAGAAGTAGTCTTTGCACACAAAGAAGTTGAAGGTAAGAGCCAAGATAAGGGCAATAATGGGGGCTCTGCATGAACAGAGTCCAACCCAAAACTGATGTCATCAAAGAAAAACTCCCAGAGGAAGGACCAATACAGCTAAAGAGTGAGTTGGCATAATCATATACTCGAGTGATAATGAAAAATCATGGATTCAAGTAGTCTGGGATTGAGTTAGGGATAGAGAGTGTGGTAAGGAGAAGAGAAAGAAGTTTCCTTAGGGAGAGGAAACAGCATTTAACATAAGATATAAGTAATGGAGTTAAAGGGCATTCAGGAAAATAAATGAAGTTCAAAATGGCCCCAAAACTAGATTGCTAGAAGGCAGAGACATCAGGAGGAGAGAGCGCAGGGTCAAGTAAGGCATGTCAAGTAGAGCCCCGTTATTTATGAGCAGTTTGGACTTCCTTTTCTCAATACTGATTCCTGTATTTTCTCACCTTTGATTTTTCCTAAACACACAGATGCATAACTAGTATAAGTACTAGTTATTATTCTAGATACTATACTAGTTACTATAAGTACTTATAACTAGTATAAGACAAGTATCCCACTAGAAAGACTAGTAAACCGATGGCCAGAGAACCTGCGAGAACTGGACTCAAATCCCAAATCTCCACAATCTCAAATCCAAGCCACTGCACTAGGAATGGAAACCAGATAACATCCTTTATGCTAATTATAATTCCCTGGGAGTGGATGTCTGGAGCCAGTGATTTTAGAAGGATTCTGTGGCTCCCTCTGTGTCTTTGGGAAAGAGAGCTAGAATGGATTCCTGCTGCCTGCCTTGGGCAGGGGAGGGGAGAGCACAGCCCTACCTGTCATGGAGCTGGTATTTCCTGCTACTGCATTGTGCGAGTTCTCTAGTTAGACCGCACAGACCTCTGCTTCTTGGTGAATTCTTTCTAAATGATCAGGATTCTTCATTTACCCATTTTCCTTGTTTGAGCATTTCCTCACCATGACACATACCAGAGATTTTCCTAGAAATCCAGAAATCTGCTAGCACGGGCCAGTGAGACTGAAGATTATGAAATTCTCCAAATTCAAAAATGGCTCATTTGAGTCAGGCAAACCAGAGGGATCTCTTACTACTCTCCCTCCTCCCCCCAGTTTGTGAACTAATGGGAATTAGGATGGCCCTAATATGGTTACAAGAACCATTATTTCAAGGTGATCACTGCCTCAAGATGATTGCCTATTCATTGTCGCAGGAATTATTTTAATTAACTGGACCTTAAATACTGACAATTATATGGAAGCTAAACTGTCAGCCTTCCCATGGAAGGATATTGATACTTCTGGGTAGGTCCTTATCACATCTTTATTTGTCATACTGATGGCTCATTTCACTTAGTAGGTGTTCAGTAAACATTTACAGGAGAGATGAATTAAATGATGAAATAAATAGGTAAGGAAACAAAGACAGATACTAAACACTGCTATCTAGCTGTAATGAAGAAGTTTTTTGAGAAGAGGAACCATGAACAGTTCACCCATGTGCTGTCACAGAGCCTATCACAGTATGTGGCATGTAACAGTTTCTCTGTAGCTGTATATATATAAGTTAATTGGAACATTATCTGTCCCTAGTAGAGTATATGCCTCTGCCACAGAGCCTACAATAGTACTTGTACTCAGAATACATCAAGCAGTACATATTTTATGTCACCTACAGGATGTGATTTTCTGTGTAAGTGGTTCAGGGACCACTTGGAGTAGAACAGAAAAATTAAGTAGGAGTAACTGCTAGGTGCCATTTCAAGACCAATCCTGGACGTTTTCATCATGTTCCATGGGGGATTCCAATGCACACGAGTTAGAAAACCACTTTTTAAACCCAGAGTTATTTGAGGGCAAGAACTAAATTCATGCCTCTTTGATTCTTTCTGAGTGTCACGCACAAACACCTGGCACAGAATAGGTCTTACTCATTGAATACAAGAGTTTTCGGGGGTAATTTTATGCATCTCTGGCTTGTTCAAGTGTAATGAGCATAACACCCTGCACGTAGTGGACCTCACTTACTGTACAGAGGATTTTACGGGGGGCAGTTTCTTACTGGCTGTGATGACTATCAAATCGCTCTGCATCTCAGACTAAGCTAATGGAGGAAATAGATGATTGTACAAGAGTGAAATTATACATCACAGTCATTTCTCCCAAGCTGGTTCTGGAAGTTGAGAGAGAGCGAATGTCTCAACTTTTGTGGAACTGTGGGTTCTGGAGTCTTCCTGCTATGTGAGATCAGATTTAAGGAGTAGGTTCCTGGTGCCATTATTGCAATTATTTTCATCCCAATGATACTATCCAATAAACTGACTCTGGGCAGGTTCCCTGGAACCAAACTCTGGGGCAGAGATTTGCATGTCAGAAGTTTATCAGGAGGCACTTTTGGGAGATACACTTGTGGCAGAGTGAAGGTGCTACAAGGAGGCAGATGCAGGAACTGAGAGATGACATAGTCATAA